TCTCATTATAATAATCTATCTTTCTTGTCAATCTAGTTTTTGTAGCTGATACTATTTGGCTTTCCAACAACAAAAATAATATGCAAACAATTCTACAAACAGCACAATAATTTTATGATTGTGTGATATTTCAATCAATCCAAACAAAACAGAAGTAATCTATATTAATAGCAAATCTGATTTCTTAACACATCTCAAATATCACAATAATGATCAAAATTTAAAAATTTTAGAACTAACAGAAAGTACCAAATACCTAGAAATTTATATCAGCATCAATAAAAAATTTCACACTCAACAAGCCAAAATCAAAATTAAAATAGACAATCTAATCAAACTCCTCACAAAAAATTTATCACTGAAAAATAATTAATATATATTATCAACAGAGTTTTATTTTCAGCAATCAAATATCGATCCCAACTCTTCATACTCTCAGATACCTTTTGTAAAAATCTAATGAGAAAAATCAAAAAACTAATAGATTGATTAATCCAGTTATCATTTGGTTGAATTGTGGGTCATTTATGATTAATTCTGGTTGTTTTTCTTTACTATTTTCTTTTATGATTTGAATTATTTGATCTTTTGGATCTTCTTCAATAATTTGTACTGGTGAATTATTTTAAATTACAATTTAATTGTCTGAGTTTTAAAGTTCAATTATTTGTTCTCAAAGTTTTTGTTATTGATAATACTGTTTTTGTTATATTATGAATATTTGGATGTCTTGTTGCAAATGGTACAAGTAAGTTTGAATTTCTTGTTCTTTTTGTAATGAATAATATAATAATAGTTCTTCAAGCTGTTGAATTAATTTACTGGTTGGATTTCCTAAACATGTTGTGACAAATACTTCTGCTAGTTGATTTTTAATTTCTTTCAATTGTTGTTTGTTTAGATTTTTCAGTAAATTTGTTTCATCTTTTAATTTTTCAAATAACTAATTAATTTCTATATCAGTTGATCGTATTAAATCTAGTTTAATTGTTTGAGTGATTCATTCACAAAGAATTCATTTATTAATTGATTTATTATTTTTGATGTCTTTGAAACTTTTCTTTTCAATATTGATATCTTTGAAACTTTCCTTTTCACAGAGGGAGCACCAAAAATTTGTTACCATTTTAATATGACTTTAAATTCTGTCACGAGAATGCACATGATAAAGTCAAATGGGAGAGTTGACATATTAAATAACTTTAAGTTGGAAGAGTTTACTAAGTTATTTAAAGGTAGGTAATATATATTCATTTTGTTGATTAGCTAAAATGAGACCAGAAAAATTCAAAGATAATTGTGTATCTTTTATAATTCAATTTATAATAAGTTGAATGTTTCTTTTAAATTTAGTTTATAAACAAGTAAAATATAATTTTTCTTTATTAATTCAATATTATTATTAACTTCACAATATAGATAAGAGATCAAATACAAAAATGTATAAAATAATATAACTTCATAATAGTAATAAGATTATAAAACAAATACAAAAATAACTTTGCAATTAAGATGAGAGGTTATGAAAATACTATCTAAAGGATTATTAAAAGAATAAAAATTAAAACTTTAAAATTGAATTAATTTCTAACTTGTTATTTGTTTTAAGCTAAGATACAAGTTGTATTTATAAGTATTTGATAATTATAAAATAATCATTTGGAATGATCATTCAGAATATTTGAAATGATTGTTTGCAATGATTATTTGCAATGATTATTTGCAATGATCATTTGCAATGATCATTTGGAATACTTGAGATGATTGGTTGGAATGATCATTTGGAATGATCATTCGAAGTGATCATGTAAAGTGATCATGTGAGATGATCATGTGAAGTGATCATGTAAAATGATCATTTGTAATTATAAAAATATCTAATCACAACAATATATAATTATATTATTATATTTACATTTATTGCGCATTATTGAACAATTACCAAGTTGCTATAGAATATCAGTACTGTATTATTATAAGACTGTTTCACACTAAGTAGACATAATATTTATTAGTAATAGTGAGAATCTATCTAATAGATAGAAGAAAATATATTATGTAACAATTCTAAAATATACTGATTATGACAAAATTGAGTAACTGTAAAATTACTATTATTAGATATTGATTAAATATTTATATTATAATAATATTCACCAAGAGTCTGATTATAATAGCATAAATCAGAAATAGTATCAGTAAAAGAATGGAATTGATCAAATTTAAATATGTATAATAATACAGATTCTAAATCAGAAATGAATATTGAAAAACTAATTTCTAGTATCTCTTTAAATGATATAAGAATAACAGCTAAAGAATATATTCATATTGATAATAATTTGAAAATTGAGAAAATTATTATAAATGAAATAGTCATTATCGAGAAAATTCATCAATAATTTAATTCTGATGATAGTGATCAAGACACTAATATCAAAGTTGAGATAATTTTTTATTTTGTTATCTTGGAGAAATATAAATCACTTTTGCAATATGTTGAACAACAAGATTTGAAATTTGTAAAAAAATTAGACTTGTCAAAATTATAAAATTTGTTATAATGTATTCAAATAAAAGTTTTTGAAACAAGATAGCAAACAAGATTGACAGATTTTTTTAGAGAAGTCAGGAATGATACAATATTTTTTTAGTATAATAAATAATTATTTTGAAAGAGTAATAAAAGTTAAGTCAAAATCTAATTTGAGAGGTAATAACTAGATAGGAGTAATAGTGATCCATTTTGAGATAAAAAACATGTATATTTTAATGTTTATTTACTGAATAAAATGGAAGTCTTCTTATCTATTTTGAGAAAAATATGAATTTCAATAAATAATTATCTAATTTCACATGTGAACTTGTATTTGTGAATTTTATTTTTTATATGATTTTTCTTTTTCACTCTCTAGAAAACTTATACTCATTAATGATCTAATATTAATCCTAACCCTATATACTCTCACTCTCACTTGTCAACTTAGAGTATGAAAAAAAGTCTGATTTAGTTTGAACTTGAACCTGACTTGAGTTTAAATTTTGAACCAAACTTGAACCTAACCAAAAGTTCAGTTTGAGTTCAAGTAAATGTTTGTTGATGTTCTAAGTAAAGTTGTAGAATGTAACATGAGCTACAAATTGATATAAGATAGTTAATATTTAGAATAAATATTTAAGAAGTTATATGAATTTAAAAAATAATTTTAATTATTATAATTTTAATCTGCTTTAGTTTTAGTATAATAAACATTTATTTTGTTATAGTAATCATAAATTAATGTGTATATAGTTCTATGAAGTAACTATTAGATTGTGCGTAACCCTTAGGTTATTCTATATCTGAAAAAGTTCAATTCGAAAAAAATATTCTGACAATTCACTACACCGTGGTCGGTGGGCAAAAAAGAATATTATAACTTATTGCGGGCTCTCTATGAGGCCACGCTCCGGTCGGGATATCTTTTATATATATTAGAAAATTGTGGGTAGATAGGATATGCGAAAAAAAATACATAGCCATGGAATGGGGGTTCCATGACTATGAATAGATTTGTATCATATTCACGTTTTAGTAAAATGCTCGTGCTAGAGCTAATATATGTTCCGGTCCTAAAACATTTGTCTTGGTGAATGCATCATATAAAGCACTTGGTCTATATTTCGAAGGAGTTAGATTCGGATGATGGAGGAATTTCATGAGTACGTTATTTCTCCAAACTTTCGTCTCTTTACGCTCCCAGCATAATTTTAATAGTTGGCATAAAGTGAGATTGTGCCAATTAGCTTTGAGTAAAATCTGCAATAGGCTTATTTTTTAAGGTCTGTTAGATCATTATCCATAACAATAATGCGCCTAGCATCTTGGATTAATTTATATAAATTTTCTATTGATTGCTCCGCCAAGCGACTTTGTGCTTGAGCAATTATAGACACTATTTCATCAAGCCATAAATCGTATTGGCTCGGAGAACATTTGCATTTTTTACTACATTTACAATTATTAGTAATACGGTGTAAACTCTCTATCTGGCATACTACCCTCTTGTGATCGGGTAGATTTATATTACCATCGATATCGCAATATGACTTAAGTCTGGTAGTAACAGCATTCGAATAGGAGTGGCGCGTGGATAATACTAGCAAATTCACATCATCAGATATAGTAAGATGCTCAAGAACATATGTTTTTCCCGTTTCCCAAGGCGATCCTACATAGATATCACCTTCATTGGGTAATGGTCTTACATATCTCTCCTCATATATTTCTGTCGCTGTAAGTGTTTCATCACACTTGGCCCAAGATGGCATTTTTATAAAAGCTCTTGGGAAACCTGGGCCTTTGATCTTATGAATGCTAGGCGCCGAAGATATATTTTTATTTTTTTGCTGAATTTTTTCCACAATAAATGGGTCGCATTCAAAAACTTTCCCTGGTTCATCACTATTCTGCCGAAAGCATTTTACGATGAATTTTCCCACTGCTAGCACATACACGACCGAACCACCGCTGATCCTTGTCATGTATACGTTTGTAGAGTGGACATTCTAGTAGAGCTTTTCAGTTAAAATATACGAAGTTTTCTGAGTCCTTTTCTTCAATAGTCCAATCCCTAAGATAGTTAGAATACTTTTGCAAAACTAGGTCCGCGCATTTTTGTAATACATCCTGACCCACAGATATTCTTAACGGATTATTATTTTTTTCTTCACTAAGTAGTCGGGGCCTCACTTCGAGACCCAAACTAGTAGGTGGTTGTACTCTAGTATAATCGAGTTCATTCCACCTATTATCTAATGAAAACTGGAGGATACGCTTTATGCGACCTTTTTTTGCCGAACCAATAAGGCGAAGGTTAAAATTTTGACCAGGTAATTTCCGATCAATAAACTTGCCGAATTTTTCCCCGGTTATGGTATATAGTAATTCAGTAAATGCTTTGAGTTCGTGATGATCAATAAGAAGAACCGGTGCGTATAAAATATGGTAGCTACACTTGCTATAATCTGAAGATGTAGCAATAACTAACCCATTGAGAATATTTTTCCAACTACAGTCGAGAATTCGATACAAGGCTCTTATGAAAGATAGGCAGATTCGAATGAATACTTCTTGCGTCTTAACACCAGTCGTTTCCATATCTTCCCGCGAAGCATCTATATCAATCACGGCTCTTAAAGGTTTTTGACCGTTAATAGATTCATGAATCCCGGGCAAACCGTATATTTCTGAAATGTCATCTGCAACGGAAAACTTTGGGGCTCGATCGTCTTGATCGATTTTGATAACCAATTTATCTTCCACTTCATCCCGGTCATAAGCATTATATAAACTAGAGCCTTTTTCATTCGGAAAGAGAAATGAATAAATTGGGAGATATTCCAATGACCCTTTTTCATCTAACATATCTCTAGGTGGTGATAGGAAAATTTCTTGAATGGCATTTAGCAAGTCCTTGGAAGAAAAATTATCATTAAACTTTTCCTGCCTTAAAGTATATGCCACATTAATCTTTCGCTCTTTTACATTTGGTGGTTGAACCAATGGAGTCTTGATAGTGCTGGTTGAAGCGCAGGTAGCTTCTTCATTATCCGACTCATAATTAGACTCATAGTCATTATAACCATCTGATCCTAAGTCGGATCTATTATCAATACAACTGCTCGAATCACTTAAATATTCATCGGAGCCGGCGCCGTCGTAGCGGGCGGTTCCGGTGCGATCAGTTTGGTCGAAAATAGTTGGTGTATGCATGATGATAGTTCGAAAAGTTATACTATCTCTATAAAATTCGGAAATGTTTAATTTATTTTTTTTTGATAGATGCAAAAAAATACATAGCAAATTGACAAGCAAATCGCGAATAAACATATTCCTAATTGGTGATATTTAAAGTAGTCTTCATCGAAAATATTATATAAAATTATGGAAAAAGACTACTCTATCATTAGTATGTATCCGGGTATGTCATCCAGGATATCTTTCTTCGGAATCTTTATATAAAATAATGGAAGAAGGATACCCTATCACTAGTATGTATCCGGATGTGGCATAAAGACTACATCTTGATGGTATGTATCTGGGCATATGTGGTATATATGTATCCATAAGATAAGTCTTCTGCGTGATCATAATATAAAAATATTGGCAGAAGACTTATACTTTTCTAGATATGTACTCGGGTATGTGTCTCCCGACGCAGTTTTTCGATGGATGCAAAAAAAACGATAGCGAATTTAGTAGGCAAAACGTAAAAGGAAGGCAACCAAATATGCAACTGAAAGTGAAGGCTTCTCCGAATCATTATATAAAATATTGGGAGAAGCCTTCACTTTCTAAATATATACTCGGATATGGTATAGCCTTCGCGTAAGATTATCCTTCCTAGATATGTACCCGGGTATGATATGAAGGCTTCTTCAGAAATATTGGCACTTGGCTACTCTATCACTAGTATGAATTCGGGTAAGTGGATGGACCGGCTATAATAATGCACGATTTTTTTATTTTTACGTTTTGACCCGCGAAAGTCACGTGACCGGCGTAGTAGGCGCAGTAAAATTAACGAAAATTTCAGCCAGTTCGATTCCATAATTTCGACCAGATCTTAAGGCATAATAACTCGGCATTCAAGCTGGCATATAAGTGGTCTGAAATTGGCAAATTAATAGAATTACTCAAGCTTCTTGCCAGTCCCTCAACAGTTCCATGACACCATCATGGCGCTATCGTGTTGCCAAGCTAGATCCTCGAATCACATGTCCTAAAGATCGACCAGAATTATGGCATAATGTCAGTCGAAATTAATCGCAGATTTACATCGAATTACTGCGCCACCCGACGTGATATTTTTTTACACCACTTCAATACTTTAAGAGACCGCCAAACAGGAGTAGAAGGAAAGCATTACCGGAATCTTAACAAGCAATCGAAGAGACCCGAAAACAGGTAAACAAATAGATATCTCTTTATTGAAAAAAATTCCGCGGAGTATTGAAAACAAGTGGATAGTTAAAAATAATAAAAACGGAAAAGATGAAGAAAAAAAAAGCATAACCATCAGGTTATGTAGATACTATTAGATTAAAGAATTCCAACCACTATTAGATTATAAGGTTACCATTGGATTAAAGAGTTGCATAAAGTAATATAGTAGGAATAAACTAAAATAATATCTAGAGAACCATAAAGAGATCCAGGAATTAGATTATAGAACTACGGATAGATTATGAAGTTACATCTAGGTTATACAATTAGGTTATGAAGTTACCGTTAAATTATGTGATTAGGTTATGAAGTTACTATTAGACTATAGTGTCACGTTAGAATATAATTTCCCTATTAGACTATAGTGTCCCTATTAGATTATAATGTCCCTGTTAGACTATAGCGTCCCTACATAACCTGATCTAAGTCGCCGGCAATTTTTTAACATGATCATGTTAAAAAATTAAAACATTTTCTTAAAACAAACTTAAAACTAAGTTCACCAATGATTATCAATTAGAAATTTAATGCATGCCATTAATAATTTAGAATTTTACGAACGGTTTTTTCGCAGGTACAAAATAGCATGACGCGTTACCGACTTCTGTTTATAGATTACAAGTTATCGTTATCGTTATGTATTTACAAATATATTACACGTTTCAAAGACAATAAGCAAGTTATTTTTTGTATTTTGATATTATGTTAAATTTACGCGTATTTCATGACTGTATACGAAAGACAAATTAAAAAAGTTATTATATTATAGGAAGACTGATCATCATTACTAACAAATGAACAAAATAAATTAAAGTTGATAACGAATAAAGAAATTAATAATTTTAACGAGATGTAAATCTAGCAGAAGTAATACATGTTATAGGGGTGGCGAATGTGGAAAACCTTGTTTTTGGCCAGTTTTAGTTTTATTAACGAGGGTTTATGGGCGCTGTCTTACGCAAGTAACGGGTACAAGAGAGGGTATCCCATCAACCCCAAAATCTAACTAGCCACTGCTGAACCCATTGATTAGTCGATAATTATTGAAAAAGATCTATTTTGTTAGCGAGTGTATTGGTGGAGGGGAAAGTTTATTGTTGATAATGGCATCATTCGAAAAATCGGGCTAGAGCGACGAATCGATTCTGATGTGAAAATCATCCACGTGGTATATAAGCCACATAAGTCACGTTTCGAACTTTTTTGTTGGCTACGCTGGGGAAGATCTGTTTTTTCGACAATTAAATTTTTCTCTAGAGGAGAAATAAGTTCGGATTCATGAAGTGTCACAAGATTGGAGCTGATAGCAACGGTTGATAGATTCGAATTCTGAACAATTTTTCCGTGAATTTTATTCACACAAATTTCATCACATATTTTTTCCTCAGTAAGCTTCTTCTCCCTGTTCCTTTGGCTAATTTCATTACTGACCTTTTTCTTATTCTTCGAATTCACGAATTCGTCAACCTCCTTATCTTCCGTTGATGCTATCGGACTTTATCTTTGTACTTCGTGCGTCCTCTTTATCAGAGTGAGCTTCGATAGGTAATGAAATTAATGGTTGGGAAGTTACTGGTAATTCTATGAGAGATTTCGGCATGGATGTGTTGGTTTGCGCCGAAACATCTTTAGTAGAAAGTACACTCTGTGCATTAATAGCAATCTGGTCCTGCCTGATTCCTCGATATCACAATTTAGTTTTGCGATGAGCTCCGCTTTTTCTTTATCGCTCTGCTCTAGTTTTGCGGGTCTGGCAGTATTCTCTTCCATAGCCCGTCTTAGCTTCGCATTCTCAGTCTTAACCTCGGCATTCTCAGTCTTAACCTTGGCGTTCTCACCTGAGAGCACAGAATTTTCGCCCATGAACGAAGCATTCTCAGCCCTAAGTTCAACAATCTGTTGGTTTAGCAAATAAATCTCAGATGTCATGTTTGATGATGCTTTGTGGAGTGTTTCGCAATCTAATATTTATATGAGATGCAGATTTATTCAAAATTAAGAGGTCGGGTAATGCACGAAGTGCACTTTCTCTGAAAGATAATATCATCACGAATCATAAGCATCGACTATATAGACATATTGGTCGATAAAAATTTCCGAATGAGACGCATGATTTCGAATATCACGAATAGCATTTTTATTTATTTCCTCATTCGAAAAATTGATGATTTAATGAAAAGCTAACTAGTTATTTCGTTTGCTTAAGCAAACCGATGAAATCTACCTTTTTTTATACGATCTTGTAGCTATACCTGCTTTCCTATAAAACAGGAATAATTTCCCACAACACATCACATGAGAAATAGCAAATATATGCAAGTTGCATGAAAATACATATTTTTAACGCAAAATGCAAAATAAAATTATTTATTGCAATAAATTGTCGCGACAAAAACACGCTATAATCTGCTCCCCTAGCATGACTAAATAACCCCATCACATTATTATGACAACTGTTCGTCCTCTCCTTCGTCTTCCTCTTCGTCTTCCTCTTCGTTTTCCTTTTCCTCTTCTTCCTGTAAAAGTGACTTATGAATTTTGATTAATGCTCTCAAAACTGAACGTCATCCAGCCGATTCTGCCAAATCTAAACCAGTCTTCGGATCATTCCCCCCTGGCCATCTTAAAATCGTAACTGACTGTTTTCGTGGTAAACCCCTCACATAATCGCCAACGGCCAATATTCGAAGTTAACAGCGAAAGTTAACAGATGGTTTACTAATGAATCAGTTTTAGATTCATCCGTGATAACGCGATGTGCATTCACGACGACTCTGTACAGTTTGCTAATGAACGTTTTGATGTGTGCATCCACTCCGCGAATCTGACCAACATCGAAGTTAAGTCTTTTGAGAATATTACGATTGATGTATGGGGGAACGTATGAATCCGGAAAGTTCGTGGCTAAACAATATTTAAACTATAAGTATAGGTTCGCTAGAAGGATTTTTAACGCAACGTAATTCTTACCTTTAACAACAGGTATGACTTCGTTCTCGTTGAAAGCCGGTTGGAAGGTCGCATTTAGTGCATCCATAGCTCCTTTTACGAATTTAGATTCTGAAAAAGGGAGATCCTTTAAGTCATAGTTGGAACGGGAACTGGAACCTGAACTGAGGCACTTAGACTTTTGACGAGTGGCAGAAGAGCTCGCACTTTCGATTTCGACGTTTTTTCGTTTCTTTGAAGTTTTTTGTGTAGTCTTTTTTGGAGAACTCTTACTTTCGACGTTTTTTTGTTTCTGATTTTTTGAACAAAAAAAGCAATCGTGAGAAAAGGTACAATTTTATTGCATCTATGTTATGCAAGAGATCACCAGGGTGTTCCGGGAGCGCCATTGTTTTTATTATTAATCTAGATTCGAGTATATGTAGTAATTTTTCACTGGTTCTTATACGGATCACGAATTAACAATTTTTTGGTTGAAATTAAACTTTTTATTTAAATAGTTCCATATAATCACACAGTTGGTTATATAGTCAAAAAATTTGAAATTATATAAAGATTTCTTAATATAATTATCATATGATATTGTTTTTTTTAGATGGTGATTGTATAGAAATTTTAATATGATATGATTATATTGAGATGATATGCAAAGTACTCCACCAAGAAAAATAAAATAGAAAATTCGTTGCTTAACATGGTAGTGATAAAAGGATAAAATTAATAGGTAGCAGGCTTAATACATGTAATATGATTGAAATAGTATTTCTGTCAGCATTCAAATAAATAGACTATATATAGTTATTTGCATTTCGGGTGTAAAATTCGGGTTCAGATCTTCAGATCAATCAGTCGATCGATTTTTGGTTCTAAACGTTGGGCTTTGTAAGATAAAGTTTTTTAGGAAGTAATATCATTGTAACAATTGTTAACGTAAATCATAAACATGAGTAAAGTAGCAAAGACAACCAATCACAGGCCCTGATCTTTTCTTCATATTTGATATATTTAAGCCCTTGATCTAAGCACAATTCGCTATTTTCATCTTGTTACCTTTTCCAGTTCCTTCGCAAGCACAACAAGGTAAATGAACTGAAATCTTAAAGTTTATTCTTATTTCTCTTAAAGGACAAAAGACAAACACAATTTATGTATTACTTGTTTTCACTTTCTTTAACTATAAACTTTTAACAAAAGTTCTCCAAAAAACGAAAATTTCCGATTAGCATTTCCAAATTCCTATAATTTCGAAATTTCGTTTTTTAACCTTTTTACTTTATTCAATGGTGTTAATATATTCACTATATAGTGCTTTTATTTCTTTTCTTTTACAATTTATTTCATTTTCGCAAAACCTTGAAATTGCGTCACGTCAATAATTGCAAATTAGAAATTCACTCTTTCACTTTCAAACCCTAATAGTTTATAAAATTTTTGTGCTAGAAACTTTTTAATTTAAATAATGTTTTATTTAGTGCTTTTCTTTCATAACGATTTACAGCAACGTTTTCTTTGGAATTCATAATTAATGGATCACGTGATTTCCCTTTTATATGCGCGCAATATTAGGTGACTCTGTTATGGCTACGAACTTCACAGATTTAAATGGTATTGCTAATGAGAAGTTCACTATACTTTCGGGTGATAATGCTAAGCACATTGCAGACCCGCTCAACGAAAAAAAATGCGAGTCATCGGGAAGTAATCCACTCGGTAAGCGATTGATAATCGTATTAATTGAATATCGGTAATAAAATACCACATTCCGTTTTAATATTATTTTATCATCACATTTCTCTTTTAGTTACTCCCACAAATAATCCAAATGTTATTCGAAATACTTTGGATTCGAAGAAATCGTCACCAGATGATGATTTTTATGACCAACAAAATATCGTCATTGCAACTGAGTTAACCTCAATCAATAAAGTCGACACGACTTATGATCTCAAGGATAAATTTGTCCGTGATAAGAATAATTCAGTCGTTAAAGAAGTTAATACTTGCGAAAATTTCGTATCTCATCGCGTATTGATGTCGAACAGCCCAAATTCGTCGTCGACTAATCAAACGACTTTAACTGCGGATTTGAATTCTATTGTTGATATTTCTCCATTAAATAAATTAAAGTTCCCATATTTCGGGCAAATTGATCTACCGGTTAGTAATGATCGTTTTACTCCGCCGGATGATGAGGGAACACGTTCAAAATATGCCGCCGCTTATTCGGATCACAGTAGCGACAGACAAGCAATTTATTCTTCTGTTGCGTCAGTCAATGTTGATGTTAATTTGGACACTATTACGCCACCGATTAGCCCTAAAAACATGATGTTGGATTTGAGGCAAAAACCAATCACTCTAAATGATGACACATTAAGTAATCTCGCGAATCATTTTCTTCCTCTTGGTGATAAACACAGTAAAACGGAGTCGTTAAATGTTGCTCAAGAAAGTGCTGGTGTTCTTTATTTCCAACCGTATTCTAGCAAAGATGACATGGAGAATTCATTTGATAAGTTTGAAAAAGGATTACCAAAATTAGTTGCCGAACAAACAAAAAAATCATCTATTTTCTCGACTCCGTCGAAATTCGGTAACTCGTGGGGAGGAATTCCGTCTCGATGGTTGTTTATTTCTAACTTACCAAAAGATATAGAGATTTGTTCTCTGAAAGAAATTATTCAGGTAATAAATATTTTTTGACTTAAAATATTGTTGTGTTAAAATTTCTAATAACAATAAATTCTAATATTTATGATCAAATTTATAGGCGCAAGGAGAAGTGCACAATATCTTTGTTAAATTTTTGCGCTCTCATGGATTTGTTTACGCTGTCTTCTTTGACATACGCGACACTATTAAAGCGCGAAAAAAGCTTCGTGCACAAACTATTAAAGGAAAATATTTGAATGTCGAGTTTTGTGCTCGTCCATTCGTAGAAAATGTAAATATATAATTCACTTATTTGAAAATAATTATCTCTTTTTACTTATCTAATTTAATTTTTATTATTAGCCTGGGAAATTGGATCACGAAGCCTCCCTTATAATCAGCATACTTGGAAAAAGACTGTCCGAGACCGTAATAATGGTACGCATTCTTTATTTGATTATTTTCCGTTTATTTATCTATGAATGCGATTAATTTTTCTATATTTAATATAGAATGAATTGGAGATTTATGGGGAAATCCGCTCATTCACACCAATTGAGTCGAAAACTTGTCAAAAGTTCATGGTTGAATATTTTGACACGCGAGACGCCCTCGATGCGAAGGAGATTATGGACTGCAAAACAGTTCGGGTAAATAATTTAATTATAATTACTTTATTTATTCTTTATTTACATTACGATTAAGTAATATTTATAAATATTATAGAAAGCGACTATCAAAGTTGATTATTACAACTATGATTCGTGTTCTTGGGAAACGGTACTCGATATCTTGCGTCAGAATAGAGAACAACAGGCAGTTCAGGCTGTTACTTTTCAACTTGAAAGTAGTGCTGATCGCGAATCCTTAGCACCTAATCTTTCTAATGGAGAGCAAATTTCAAGTATGATTAAATCAGATAAAAGTGATTTGGCTAATACAGTCGGAGAAAATTTCACAAAAAGTGGAAATAAGAAGCAAATGGGTCCTAATAACAGCACTATTGTCGTATCTGGTGAGAAAACAATTCCTGACAAAAACACGCTTGATTTGGAAAAAATCGCGAGTGGTAAGTCTATTTCGAGTATTTGTATTGACTATCACTAATAAATATCAAAGTAATGATATGTAATAGGCGAAGATCAACGCACTACTTTCATGATAAGAAACATCCCAAATAAATATACTCAGGTAAGTAATCGCGTGTCCTAATTATCAATTGATTCAACATTGGTTGTTACGATTTTGTGTTTCTAGCGAATGTTGCTTGAGACTCTCGACGAGACCCATAAGAGTCAATACAACTTTTTTTATTTACGAATGGACTTTAAAAACCGATGCAATGTCGGTTATGCATTCATTAATTTTGTGAATGCATGGTAAGATTAGCTTCGTAATTATGTGATTACTTGTATCTCTCCGCTTACAATAATTACCTGTCTCAAAAAATAGTGCTGTCTTGTCCTTCGCAAAATCTCGGGTTGGAAAGAGGTGGAGTAAGTTCAACTCCGAGAAAGTATGTGAGCTTGCCTACGCTAACATTCAAGGCAAGAAAGCTTTGGTCGAAAAATTTCGGAACAGCAGGTGGATTATTGATTTTTTTGCTTTAATATTTCTTGCACACATAACATTAACCAACTTAATAGTGTCATGGATGAGCTGCCGGAATACCGCCCAAAAATTTTCTTCTCTTCTGGTGCGTTGCGCGGCCAGGAACAACCGTTTCCTGAGCCGAACAACCATCAAAAGAAAATGAAGTCTTTGGCTGCTCGGATTGGTACTGCCAGCTCTTTGAGTGACACTACTTGAGGTGATGACGCAGGTGTTGGTTAGATGTGGAATTTATAAATAATTTTTAAAATTTTTATATATTTTTTATTTTTATAATTATAAAATTTTTAAACAAATGATGTGGTTTATAAATTCAGCATCAATTTGTGCAATTTGTGCAAACTACCAGTATAAATTCAATTTGCGAATTTTATGAAGTCAATGAACTTTCGCAAAAAGTCGACTAAATTCAGTGTAAATTCATTGAATTTTGGAAAGTCAGATATAAATTCAGCCGTAAGTTCATTAATTTCAAGATACAGTCAACTCTCGTTAAACCGACCATATTTTTCTTTGATTTAGCGGGAGTTTACATAATATAGATAAAAAGTGATTTTTTACTTAAAATTTAAAGTGAACTTTGGGAAGTCACCGATGCAAATTGCAATTATATTCAGCAATTGTTATTTGCAAAGAATCAATCAATAATTTTTTCGAGGATCATCTTAATTTAAGTCAAAAATCAATATCTGGCAGCACGAATTTGATGAAACATATTGATTTGAGTCTCACTGTATTGACTGAAACAAAAAATTTATCGAGAAAATAATAAAAAATTACAAAATATATATTTAAATATATAAGTGGTCTGGGCTAAAATAAAAACGTGTATTATTTTAAAATTTTTTTGAGCGTTTAAAATTCGCCTCTTTCTTTTAAGTATAAGTATGTTGCTTGGAATATCAACTTCATGTATAATAGGTATGGTGCATAACATCTAAAGTCATCAAACATTTGTATTTGATAAAATGTATAAACTTCTTTACTAAGTAAATACAAAATTTAATCCATGAATATGCTCAGAAAGAGCATATTCTATCATATTCATTGATTAAATTTTGTATTTACTTCTTAGTAAAGTTTATATAATTTATAAGATACAAATATTTGATGATTTTAGATGTTATATACTGTTACAGTTACTTTAAATGAAGGGTTTCTTCACTTTTGATAAGAGAGTTATATGAGTTGGAAGAAAAAAATAGACTAATAAAATTGGTCAGTGCAAAAATAAATATCTAAGCCTGTGCCAATTTTGACAGAAATTGTTAAACAATTCTATCAAAAGATAAAAAGAGAAATTGGAAGAATGTGTTCAAAGAGGCAATTAACTAATAGGGATTACTAACTAAATATAAAGATATTAATGTTTCTATACTTGTAATCATACATTTTAGTGCTTTCAATACCAAAGAAAATAAATTACTAAAAGAAATATTACTTATTTAGAGTTGCAGTACACAACTATATAATTCAATATCACTTATTTAAAGTTATAATATATAATTATATAATTCAATATCACTTATTTAAAGTTGTGATGCACAACTATACAATTTAATATCATTTATTTAAAGTTACAGTGCAGAAATATATAATTTAATATCACTTATTTAAAGTTACAGTGCAGAACTATATAATTCAATATTACTTATTTAAAGTTACAATATATAACTATACAAAAATAATGTTATAGCAAATCAATATGCTTATCCAAAAATACTTTAACCATCTTTTTCAAATTTAAAGACAAAAATATAATAGTCAAAAATTCAATTTTATATAAATCAATATTGTCATGATATGACTTTTAACGAACAATCTTATTGAATAAGATTTATATTAATTATTATTGGATTATATATATTAGTATTTCTATTGGATAGTTAT